GTCGACTCAACAGTGGAGTCGACTCGACTCAACAGTGGAGTCGACTCAACAGTGGAGTCGACTCAACAGTGGAGTCGACTCAACAGTGGAGTCGACTCAACAGTGGAGTCGACTCAACAGTGGAGTCGACTCGACTCAACAGTGGAGTCGACTCAACAGTGGAGTCGACTCAACAGTGGAGTCGACTCAACAGTGGAGTCGACTCAACAGTGGAGTCGACTCAACAGTGGAGTCGACTCGACTCAACAGTGGAGTCGACTCAACAGTGGAGTCGACTCAACAGTGGAGTCGACTCAACAGTGGAGTCGACTCAACAGTGGAGTCGACTCAACAGTGGAGTCGACTCAACAGTGGAGTCGACTCAACAGTGGAGTCGACTCAACAGTGGAGTCGACTCGACTCAACAGTGGAGTCGACTCAACAGTGGAGTCGCGACTCAACAGTGGAGTCGACTCAACAGTGGAGTCGACTCAACAGTGGAGTCGACTCGACTCAACAGTGGAGTCGACTCAACAGTGGAGTCGACTCAACAGTGGAGTCGACTCAACAGTGGAGTCGACTCAACAGTGGAGTCGACTCAACAGTGGAGTCGACTCAACAGTGGAGTCGACTCAACAGTGGAGTCGACTCGACTCAACAGTGGAGTCGACTCAACAGTGGAGTCGACTCAACAGTGGAGTCGACTCGACTCAACAGTGGAGTCGACTCAACAGTGGAGTCGACTCAACAGTGGAGTCGACTCAACAGTGGAGTCGACTCAACAGTGGAGTCGACTCAACAGTGGAGTCGACTCAACAGTGGAGTCGACTCAACAGTGGAGTCGACTCGACTCAACAGTGGAGTCGACTCAACAGTGGAGTCGACTCAAACAGTGGAGTCGACTCAACAGTGGAGTCGACTCAACAGTGGAGTCGACTCAACAGTGGAGTCGACTCAACAGTGGAGTCGACTCAACAGTGGAGTCGACTCAACAGTGGAGTCGACTCAACAGTGGAGTCGACTCGACTCAACAGTGGAGTCGACTCAACAGTGGAGTCGACTCAACAGTGGAGTCGACTCAACAGTGGAGTCGACTCAACAGTGGAGTCGACTCGACTCAACAGTGGAGTCGACTCAACAGTGGAGTCGACTCAACAGTGGAGTCGACTCAACAGTGGAGTCGACTCAACAGTGGAGTCGACTCAACAGTGGAGTCGACTCGACCTCAACAGTGGAGTCGACTCGACTCAACAGTGGAGTCGACTCAACAGTGGAGTCGACTCAACAGTGGAGTCGACTCCTCAACAGTGGAGTCGACTCAACAGTGGAGTCGACTCGACTCAACAGTGGAGTCGACTCAACAGTGGAGTCGACTCAACAGTGGAGTCGACTCAACAGTGGAGTCGACTCGACTCAACAGTGGAGTCGAAACTCAACAGTGGAGTCGACTCAACAGTGGAGTCGACTCAACAGTGGAGTCGACTCAACAGTGGAGTCGACTCAACAGTGGAGTCGACTCAACAGTGGAGTCGACTCGACTCAACAGTGGAGTCGACTCAACAGTGGAGTCGACTCAACAGTGGAGTCGACTCAACAGTGGAGTCGACTCAACAGTGGAGTCGACTCAACAGTGGAGTCGACTCAACAGTGGAGTCGACTCGACTCAACAGTGGAGTCGACTCAACAGTGGAGTCGACTCAACAGTGGAGTCGACTCAACAGTGGAGTCGACTCAACAGTGGAGTCGACTCAACAGTGGAGTCGACTCAACAGTGGAGTCGACTCAACAGTGGAGTCGACTCAACAGTGGAGTCGACTCAACAGTGGAGTCGAGCTCAACAGTGGAGTCGACTCAACAGTGGAGTCGACTCAACAGTGGAGTCGACTCAACAGTGGAGTCGACTCAACAGTGGAGTCGACTCGACTCAACAGTGGAGTCGACTCAACAGTGGAGTCGACTCAACAGTGGAGTCGACTCAACAGTGGAGTCGACTCCAACAGTGGAGTCGACTCAACAGTGGAGTCGACTCGACTCAACAGTGGAGTCGACTCAACAGTGGAGTCGACTCGACTCAACAGTGGAGTCGACTCAACAGTGGAGTCGACTCAACAGTGGAGTCGACTCAACAGTGGAGTCGACTCAACAGTGGAGTCGACTCGAGCTCAACAGTGGAGTCGAACTCAAGGACTCAACAGTGGAGTCGACTCAACAGTGGAGTCGACTCAACAGTGGAGTCGACTCAACAGTGGAGTCGACTCAACAGTGGAGTCGACTCAACAGTGGCATCAGTCGAGCTCAACAGTGGAGTCGACTCAACAGTGGAGTCGACTCGACTCAACAGTGGAGTCGACTCGACTTCAACAGTGGAGTCGACTCAACAGTGGAGTCGACTCAACAGTGGAGTCGACTCGACTCAACAGTGGAGTCGACTCAACAGTGGAGTCGACTCAACAGTGGAGTCGACTCAACAGTGGAGTAGACTCAACAGTGGAGTCGACTCAACAGTGGAGTCGACTCGACTCAACAGTGGAGTCGACTCAACAGTGGAGTCGGACTCAACAGTGGAGTCGACTCAACAGTGGAGTCGACTCAACAGTGGAGTCGACTCAACAGTGGAGTCGACCGACTCAACAGTGGAGTCCGACTCAACAGTGGAGTCGACTCAACAGTGGAGTCGACTCAACAGTGGAGTCTATTCGACTCAACAGTGGAGTCGACTCAACAGTGGAGTGGAGTCGACTCAACAGTGGAGTCGACTCAAACAGTGGAGTCGACTCAACAGTGGAGTCGACTTCAACAGTGGAGTCGCCTCAACAGTGGAGTCGACTCAACAGTGGAGTCGACTCAAAACAGTGGAGTCGACTCAACAGTGTCGACCAGTGGAGTCGACTCAACAGTGGAGTCGACTCAACAGTGGAGTCGACTCAACTCAAGTGGAGTCGACTCAACAGTGGAGTCGATCGACTCAAACAGTGGAGTCGACTCAACAGTGGAGTCGACTCAACAGTGGAGTCGACTCAACAGTGGAGTCGACTCAACAGTGGAGTCGACTCAACAGTGGAGTCGACTCGACTCAACAGTGGAGTCGACTCAACAGTGGAGTCGACTCGACTCAACAGTGGAGTCGACCTCAACAGTGGAGTCGACTCAACAGTGGAGTCGACTCGACTCAACAGTGGAGTCGACTCAACAGTGGAGTCGACTCGACTCAACAGTGGAGTCGACTCAAACAGTGGAAGTCGACTCAACAGTGGAGTCGACTCAACAGTGGAGTCCGACTCAACAGTTGGAGTCGACTCAACAGTGGAGTCGACTCGACTCAACAGTGGAGTCGACTCGACTGCAACAGTGGAGTCGACTCAACAGTGGAGTCGACTCGCTCAACAGTGGAGTCGACTCGACTCAACAGTGGAGTCGACTCAACAGTGGAGTCGACTCAACAGTGGAGTCGACTCAACAGTGGAGTAGACTCAACAGTGGAGTCGACTCAACAGTGGAGTCGACTCGACTCAACAGTGGAGTCGACTCAACAGTGGAGTCGACTCAACAGTGGAGTCGACTCAACAGTGGAGTCGACTCAACAGTGGAGTCGACTCAACAGTGGAGTCGACTCAACAGTGGAGTCGACTCAACAGTGGAGTCGACTCAACAGTGGAGTCGACTCAACAGTGGAGTCGATTCGACTCAACAGTGGAGTCGACTCAACAGTGGAGTCGACTCGACTCAACAGTGGAGTCGACTCAACAGTGGAGTCGACTCAACAGTGGAGTCGACTCAACAGTGGAGTCGACTCGACTCAACAGTGGAGTCGACTCAACAGTGGAGTCGACTCAACAGTGGAGTCGACTCAACAGTGGAGTCGACTCAACAGTGGAGTCGACTCAACAGTGGAGTCGACTCAACAGTGGAGCTCGACTCAACAGTGGAGTCGACTCAACAGTGGAGTCGACTCAACAGTGGAGTCGACTCAACAGTTGGAGTCGACTCAACAGTGGAGTCGACTCGACTCAACAGTGGAGTCGACTCAACAGTGGAAGTCGACTCAACAGTGGAGTCGACTCAACAGTGGAGTCGACTCAACAGTGGAGTCGACTCAACAGTGGAGTCGACTCACCAACAGTGGAGTCGACTCAACAGTGGAGTCGACTCAACAGTGGAGTCGACTCAACAGTGGAGTCGACTCAACAGTGGAGTCGACTCAACAGTGGAGTCGACTCAACAGTGGAGTCGACTCGACTCAACAGTGGAGTTCGACTCAACAGTGGAGTCGACTCAACAGTGGAGTCGACTCGAACTCAACAGTGTGGAGTCGACTCGCTCAACAGTGGAGTCGACTCAACAGTGGAGTCGACTCAACAGTGGAGTCGACTCGACTCAACAGTGGAGTCGACTCAACAGTGGAGTCGACTCAACAGTGGAGTCGACTCAAACAGTGGAGTCGACTCAACAGTGGAGTCGACTCAACAGTGAGTCGACTCAACAGTGGAGTCGACTCGACTCAACAGTGGAGTCGACTCAACAGTGGAGTCGACTCAACAGTGGAGTCGACTCAACAGTGGAGTCGACTCAACAGTGGAGTCGACTCAACAGTGGAGTCGACTCAACAGTGGAGTCGACTCAACAGTGGAGTCGACTCAACAGTGGAGTCGACTCGACTCAACAGTGGAGTCGACTCAACAGTGGAGTCGACTCAACAGTGGAGTCGACTCAACAGTGGAGTCGACTCAACAGTGGAGTCGACTCGACTCAACAGTGGAGTCGACTCAACAGTGGAGTCGACTCAACAGTGGAGTCGACTCAACAGTGGAGTCGACTCAACAGTGGAGTCGACTCGACTCAACAGTGGAGTCGACTCAACAGTGGAGTCGACTCAACAGTGGAGTCGACTCAACAGTGGAGTCGACTCAACATTGGAGTCGCCTCAACAGTCACAGGAGCATGGACATGGTATGCAAAACGCTTCGGGAGTATAGGTTGGTCGGTGGGTTGGTTGGGTGCTTGGATGGTTGCATGGGTCGTACTCTCTGGAATTGCCGGTTGGAGTCCTCACAGCACCACCCCATCTCCAGCTCAAACGCCTTGTCCTTGGCCTCGTCATGCACTCCAACGATGCTGCTTGTAAGGGGGATAGAAAGGAAGGGTTAACAAGTGAAAGGGTGTGCGAGTGTGTGTTTGAGTGTGTGTGTGTGTGTGTGTGTGTGTGTGCGCGTGCGCGCCTGCGTGCGTGCGTGCGTGTGTGCGTGTGTGTGTGTGTGTGTGTGTGAGTGTGTGAGTGTGCGCGTGCGTGCGTGCGTGCGTGCGTGTGTGCGTGTATGTGCGTGCGTGCGTGTGTGTGTGTGTGTGTGTGTGTGTGTGTGTGTGTGTCTGTGTGTGTGTGTGTGTGTGTGTGTGTGTGCGTGTGCGTGCAGCACTCACATCTTGGCAACAGCGTTCACCCCCTCCCGACACGTCATCTCTGAAAGCTTCAACTTCTCAATCTCGCTGCCAGGGGATCACACCAGCGCAGCAGGCGTACGGGGGAGAGGGGAGAGGGAGACGGATGGAGAAGGGCAGCAGGCGTACGGGGGAAGAGGATACGGATGGAGAGGGGCGAAGAAACAAAGGTGAGAAACAAGGAGGAAGAAGGGAACAAGAGGAACACGAGTGGGTGTGAAAGAGCATTCTGTAAAAAGCAAGCGGAGGGAGAAGGGAAAGAGAAAGTAGGGGCACCAATCCTGATGAGCAGAGAACGAGAGTTTGAGAGGAGAGGGGGAAGAGGAGTGACATGAGAAGAGAGGGGTGGGAGGAGAGACATGAAGGCCAGGGGAGAGGGGGAGCGACTCACGTCTTGGCTGCTTGCCTTCCCTTGCCCACTGCAGTGCCGTGATACCGCTGCAACCATCACCCGGGTGTGTGTGGGGGGGGAAGTGGGTGGGGGGGAGAGAGAGGAGAGAGTGAGACAGTTGACAGCATTGTAGCTGGTTGCATGGTGGCACAGTGAAACGAGCACACACGACCATGGCAGAGACAGGAAGCAACCATGAACTAAGCACCATCTCTTCAGACGCTTACGTAAGTGACGCCTGAGGGCTCGATGCAGTAGAGTTGGGGCCCGTCGCGATCATATCCAGCCAGCAGCACGGAGGACCTTCAGGGACGTGTCTTGAGACGACTCAAAACTCGCTGACACAAGTGACACTTTCAGGCACTTACATAAGTGACGCCCGACGGTTCAATGCAGTAGAGCTGGGGCCCGTCGCGGTCATAGCCAGCCAGCAGCACAGAGGAGCCGAGGGGGCGCGTCCACCAGTAGAGCGTGAAGTAGTGCGCGTAGCTCGCCATGCGATCTGCCAGCACCTTGAGAGGAATCATGTGCGCGAAGAAACTGGAGGGATCGGGGGAGTGAAAGGAGGGGGAGGAGGCGGGCGGGGAAGTAGGGGGGAAAGCAAGGGGAGATATGGTTTGACTTTTGGAACGTCGCAAAACTCTCGAGGGGAAGCATGCATGGAAAGAAACTGTAAAGGGCAGCATGCCTTGCATGCATGCTGCACACATGGCGCATGCATGCTGCACACATGCTGCACCCACCCAATCTGCACCCACCCATGATGCACCCATGCCTACACACGCCTTGCACGCATGATGCAGGGAAGTGGAAAGGAGCAGCATGCCTTGCACACAAGAGGCACGCCCACCTCTTGTAGTTGACTGCCTCGTTGCGAGCGAGGTTGACCACCTGGCGGCCATCCGCCACGAGTCCCGCCACAGCGATGCCGGCATGCTGCCGCACCCATGCCACACCCATCCCGCACCCATCCCGCATGCACCCCTTGCACGCATCCACACCTCTTGTAGTTAACAGCCTCGTTGCGGGCGCGGTTGACCACCTGCCTCCCATCCGCCACGAGCCCCGCCACAGCGATGCCAGCGTGCTTGTCCACTATGTGGATTCGCCGGTTGCTGCCCTGCACCTGCATCTTCGACACCAGCAGCTTCTCCACGCCCTGGTGTGATCATGGGAAGGGATGCAGAGCAAGACCGTGGCAGTGCGACGGAGGCAGAGAGGCATGAAGTGGGCCACAGCGATGCCAGCATGCTTGTCCACTATGTGGATTCGGCGATTGCTGCCCTGCACCTGCATCTTCGACACCAGCAGCTTCTCCACGCCCTGGGAAGGGTGGGCGTTGGGACATGCAAGACCGGGGCAGTGCAGGGGGCAGAGAGGTGGGAGAGGAGGCATGAAGTGTGTTAGGTGCCAACATGCTTGTCCACTATGTGGATTCGCCGGTTGCTGCCCTGCACCTGCATCTTTGATACCAGCAGCTTCTCCACGCCCTGGTTAGTTAGCACGTGGCAGTGTGGGGGGGCAGAGAGGTGAGAGTGGAGGCATGAAATGAGTCGGTTGCTGCCCTGCACCTGCATCTTTGATACCAGCAGCTTCTCCACGCCCTGGGGTGACCATGGGAAAGGACGCAAGGGAAGACCGAGGAAGAGAGAGGGAGACAGAGAGGCATGACGTCAGTCGGTTGCTGCCCTGCACCTGCATCTTCGACACCAGCAGCTTCTGCCAACCCATCATAAGGCCCAACCCATCATAAGGCTCACCCCGTTATAAGACTCAACCCGTTATTAGAATCTCCCCGTTATATGACTCACCAGCACAACGCCATCCTTGCACCTCAGACCCACCGCCGTGCTGCCAGAGACGAACGAGGAGAGAGGCGGAAGGGAGGGGGGAGGGACGAGGAAAACCAGGAAGGGAGGAGGAAAGTTATGAGAGAGGAGGAAATCATGAAGGGAGGAAAGAGAATGGCGGGAATAAACCGGAAAGATAAGGGAAAGGAATAGGGGGGCAGTGGAGGAGGGGGGAGGGAAGGAAGTGAGGACAAAAGAGGGCACGATAAGGAGAGAACGGGCGAATGAGGAAACACGGCAAGCAGGATGACCCGTTGATTCAGAGTGACGTACCCGCTATTGTCAACCGCCTTTCCCGCGTACTCGATCTGAAAGATTCGGCCATCAGGCGAATAGGTTGTGACGGACAAATCGTACTGTATGGGATTAACATAAAACGACAAAGCAGGAGAGACGGAAGCGGTGGCAATGAGAATCGGCAATCTCAGGGAAAAGCTACTCGTAGGCCGTCTTCCCAAGGGAAAAAGCTCATTAGCTCGAAATTACTGAATCTGGACGCGGGTCGACAAACGAATCTAAACTATGACGCGAGAAGCAAGGCTAACGTATCGACGTCCACGCAGAATCAACGAGACCAAGTCTAGAATTCTAAGTAGAGGAGATCAGGCCGACTGTATGCGGGCAATCGCGAGACAAAACGAGCTAATACAAGAGTACTTGCTGCTAGCCCCTCACCCCAGTTCCGATGCTGCTCATGGCGACACAACTGCGATCGCGAGGGGACTACGACGCCGTGTTGGGAGCAAATTCTAAAAGATTTCCGATCGACCTTAGAAACTAAGGAGCAGGATCGGGAGATTCCAGTTATCAGAGGTGAATGGCGAGCGAAATGCGTTTCTGTGGAGAGATGAAGGTAGAAGCCCTGGAGGCAATGCGGTGAGGAGGAATCCGTGGTCGATATTGAAGCACTCGATTCCTGACTCCTCACAAACACGCAAATTTCGTCCTACGGTTGAGACAAATAAAGTAGACAGTTTATACCGGTATTTGGATAACAACGGTTTTCTTGGAGGCTAGAATCTTTCTTAATTAATAAAAGCTGTAGCTTCACATAAAGTAATATAATCTACAGCAGTTCAATCTAGCTTGGCAATAATCGCATCGACATATTCTTGCGTGGTCGAATCCCCTCCCATGGCAGGCGGGCGAACAAGCCCCTCCGCAATCACTCCATAGATCGCATGCTCCAACCGATCGGCGAATGACGGGAACTGCAGATGCCGGAGCATCATGGCTGCCGAGAGAAGGAGAGCCGTCGGATTGGCCTTCTTCTGAGCGTTGATGATGTCGTTCCCCACGTTGCCTGCTGAGGCCCCTTGCTCAAAGATGGCATGCTCATAACCCACATTCCCTGTTGGAAAAGGCCCAAAAGCATTTGGCAACATGCAACAGGAAAGTAACTCTTATCAACCATAAGTAACCATGTGATGTGGTGTTGTCAGCAACTGAAGGCCCGGCATGAAGTCTGAGCATTGAGAAATGAGTGCACACTTGAACACTGTGGAGGAATTGCAGCGATAACCAGAAAAGAAGAGCAAGCGTACCTCCGGGCATGACAGTGGTGCCTCCTGCGATGCCAGCAGCACAGTTTGAAATGAGAGTGCCGTACAGATTGGGGGTCACCTGAATGGGGAGGATGGAAGGGAGTGTGTGTGTGTTTGGGAATGGAAAGGAGAGGCAAGAGAGACCGAATGACGGGAGAACAAGGAGAAGAGGGTAGATGAGCACGTCACTGGAAGGTGAGGAGAGTTGGTGAGGTGAGAGGAAATATAGGAGAGCAACTGGATATGAGAGAGCAACAAGACACAGCCCATGTGCATCCCCACACGCTCCAAACCCATGCAGACAAGCAAAAGAGACCAAATCTCACAAACCTTCCACCTTCACCCTTATCCCCTTCCCTCTACCAGTCATAGGCTGTCATTGCACTCCCCAACGACCAAAATTGCCCTCTTCTTCCCTGCACTCTCAACAATGCCAGTGGCGAATCCCCCAGTCAGCAAAGGCCACTCGTCCACACTCGTCCACACGCGACCACACACGACCACACACGACCACACACGACCACACACGACCGCCCTTGGAGACTCTCGCGGCCCCAGTTGCTTGTCTTGTCATGCTGCCCCTGTGTTGCCCACATCCTCATGTCCCTCTCTCTTCCTCACCTCAACCCTTCCTTTCCCCACCCCGCCATCCTCTATGTGGATGTGATTGGGCTGGATGGATGACAGGCTTATGTTTAAGTTCAAGAATCATGCACGAATGGTTTCCATCTCTCATGCCATTCCCATGAGCCACTCAGAGCCCTCCTTTTTCGCTGTCTCGCCACCCTCTACTGTAGCTCCCCCCTTTCCCCTGCCTTCCCTCCCCACCCACCCCCCTTCTCCCCCGCCGCCCCCCCACATCCATGATCACTAGGCCACCAAACTCGGCCACCCATGGTCTTATTTCCCTCTGCACCTCCTGCCTCCCCGCTTCTGCACCTCCTCCTGCACCCCCTCCCTGCGTGCAGCGCTTGCCCCCTTGCTCTCCGCACGCACCATCACACCACCCCTTCCCCCCTGCTTGCATCACTAGCCCGCAACACCCCCGCGCCACCTCGCTCCCCCATGCACCCACCATGACATCAAAGTGCTCGGGCTTGGACACGAGCTGCATGCAGCAGTTGCCATCCGCCTCACTACACCATACACAGCACCCCATCTCTCCTGCCCCCCCCCCCCCCGCCCCCTTGCACGCACCATGACGTCAAACTGCTCGGTCTTGGAGACGAGCTGCATGCAGCGGCTGTCAAGCCCCTTTCACCCACTGCATTTTGCACAACACCACATTCTCCCCCCCACCACCTCTCTCCCCCACTTTCCCTGCACGCACCATGACATCGAACTGCTCTGGCTTGGAGACGAGCTGCATGCAGCAGTTGTCGATGATGACCTCGTTGTAGTTGATCTGCGGGTACTGCTTCGACACCTCGCGGCACGACTCCAGGAACTGCCCGTCCGCGAGCTTCATGATGTTCGCCTTGTGCACCGCCGTCACCGTCTTGCGGTTGTTCAGGTACGCGTACTCGAACGCGTACTTAGCAATCCGCTCCGAGCAGAACTTGGTGATCACCTTGCATTGCAGCAGGGGAGAGGGGAGAGTGGAGGGAAGAAGGGCGGTCATGGAGGAGACGGGGGATGACGTGAGCAGGGCGCACTCAAACGCGTATTTGGCGATGCGCTCCAAACAGACTTGGTGATCAACAAGGCGGAGCCCGGAAGGGTTACACGCAGGGGAAGGAGGGGAGGCGGAAGGGGAGCGAGAGTATGGGGAATGAGCGAGGGGGAGAGAGCAGGAGCGAAGGGAACGGAGAAGGGGAGTGGCGGCATGAAAGGGAAGAGGAACTAGCCGTAAGCGCGCTTCATGGTGTTCTCTTTGTACACCGGCATACTTACTCTTGCCACGTGGCATACCTTGAGCCATCAGCACGGTCACGTGGCATACCTTGAGGCTCTCGACAACCCCACGGGAGACTTCGTGCTCCGATCCCGCTATCCTCGTCAACTTTTCCCTCAAATACCACGACTTTGACACGGGGCATGGTTTCGCGCGCTTAGGAGCCACGTGGCATACCTTGAGGCTCTCGACAACCCCGGGAGTGACTTCGTGCTCGAGCCCGCTGTACTCGCCCTCCGTGTTCTCGCGGATCACCACGATGTTCACGTTGTCGTGCCGCGTCTTCAGCCCCGGGAAGTTACTGCAGTAGGCGAGATGCGCGAAGAGATCGAACTCTTTTCGCAGCTGCACCGTCAGCGAACTGACTCCGCCTGCGACGGCCGTTCGCACGCCTCCCTTGATCCCCACCTGCACCGAAAAGGGCGATCCGCCGTTCCCATAAAAGGACAGACGAAGATTAAGCGCTTACCGAATGCCATTTAATGAGAAGACGCGAGATGGGGATGGATGTGGATCGGGAACACAGTTCACCGGGATTGAAGCTGGGAATAGGATTGACGCTTTGACGAGCAATGCCGGGCCAAGTCAAAGAACTAATTATTATTAATACCATTTTTTAAAAGGTCTGACCTTGTTGCGCCGGAGCGAGTCGAGGACCTCGGTGGGCACGGTGGGCATGGTGCCCTTGAGGTCATACGTCTCGAACACCACGGGCGCGTGGATGGCTTTAAACACCTGCTCCACCGCGTTCGTGCACAGCGGCCCGGCTCCGTCACCCGGGAGCAGCGTAACAGTGCGCGTCGCGCCCTCGCCCGGCTTCGGCATGTACGTGACGTTTCGAGTCGGCTGCAGGTTGAACGCGTTAAGCGCGGCCCTCGCAGCGTGTGATCTGGACCGCGACGCGATGCGCGAGACGAGGGATGCCATTGTGGGTGGCGAGGCGTGAGTGGATCGGAAAAAGATGCGAGATGGGCGAGATCGATAATATCGATCGTGCGCGTGCAAGGGCGCTTTGATCGGATGGTAGGAGATCGGACGGTGGGAAGGGATGTGCGGTGGGACGGGAGATACAATCAGGCGAAGGACGTTATGCTGAGGAGCGAAGCGGCGGACTAAGACGGAGCAACGAGCGCGGCGATCCACTAAAGAGCTGCTCGAGCTAGCTACTATTAGCTCTTGAGAATATCAATCCGAGGGTGGAGCAGACGAGCCAATTCCAAGGCGTGACGGACTGATCCCGAGGCTAGGGCTCGTTCACACTAACCCAGAACAAAGAATCACAAACCTGGAGCGGGTCTTTCCGAGTGAGAAAGGAATGCGTGGCTTCAGCAAAACAATTTCCGCGACGGTGAGGGATTGGTCCGTTTTCTAGCAGTTTGTATCACGTGGCGAATTCCTCGAGTATCATTCCCTAAAAATGAGGTGACATGGCGCTTGTCCTCACACTTGTGTCCCACGCTCTATAAGAACGACCAGTTGAGGCAAGTATGCCAGTAGTTATTGAAATTATTTTCAATCAATAATTGTACACCTCCCTCATACCTTATAACTCCGGATATAATACCCGATTATATTGAGGCAACTGGGCGATAAGACCAATGCTGATTACACGCCCCGTAATATGTTAGTTAATATATATGTATGATACAGAAACATGTAGTTCGTATAGAGTGAGCAGGGTTGACTGATCTGTATTTAGGCTGTAATTACATCCTCATTGTGTTTGTACCAATTCAACATCTAAGCCTATCGACACATATCCTTCAAAGCGTTTACTGTAGAGGGAGCGCAAATCCCATGAATTTTACAGCTTTCCACGTGTCAGACTGCTATTTCCTGCGTGTCAAACCTGGCAAGGCCGAACCTTTCCATGGCGGCTCGGGTGGCCCCAGGCTTCAGCTCTCAAAGACCTGGCACTACGGCATTCTCGAAGCAGCAGGTCCCCATGGCGCCTCGAAAATGACAGAGGCAGGCCGCCATGGGGAAATACAATTACACGCGTCTCTCTCACGCTTTTCCTCACATCACCTTATCCCTAACTCCCAAGCCGCACTATTCTCGATGCTTATCCTGACGAAAAGAGGTTTCTTCTCCTTCCTGCTGCACCTCTCTAAGCCTGAATAGTCGACCCAGGGTCCCCACAGGACCACTCATAGAAGGCCCAAACCAGCCTCGGGTTTCGCTCTTTTCCAGAGACTTGTTTCTGACGTCTCCTTGTGTCACGTGCTCCTCGTGAAGTTTGTCATTCCCAATGCGAGTCAGTCTACTTTCTCTTCTCTTCCTCACTTGACGTCTCTTGGTTGCCTCTTTTTCGACAAGTCCGATCTCGAGTCAGATCTCGGCGTAATCGAGGGGAACACAGCAGAGATCTCTACGGAAAGGAGATCCTAAAGGCCACAGCTTATCGGTCTTGAGCCTCTCCTATCAGCCGTGGATATCGGAGGATAAGGCTCTTTGGTTGGCTTTCTCTGGATCTTACCATTGAGGTAGATTTCTCGCGCCTATGAGCATCTTTTGGAGATTTTCAATTTGGTCACACCACTAAATTTACTCGCGCCTTTGAATCACCTCATTGTACCTTGCATTGAAGGATTCTGTGACGTGACCTCAAGATTTCATAGTCGCATGCGTTTCTGAGAATAGCGAGTATGTCTGTGACAGGGTTCCTCCGTGTAATGGACGCGTCCGTGCCACACACCCAAGTCCAGGAGCACGCGTCTACGGCAGCGGAGGCACTGATGGAGCTCGGATTCCGCTCGACTTCGTCGGAAGAGATTGACGACGATTCTGAGCGGACAGTTGAACGGGCTGTTGCTGAGCCCGAGTCAGGGAATGATGGTGAAGAACGGGCAGATGAACGGGCGAATGAAACGGATGAGACCCCGACAGCCGAACCAACGGCAGAAGTTGGTGCTGAAGCAATGACGCCGAGGTCGACGGATCAAGAAGAGAAGCATCATGGTCAAGACGCGAATCACGATCGCTCCGCTGCTTATGTCGCGGATGAGTCTCAGGAGGGAGTGGAAGCGGCCGTGCTGCGGGAAGGTGGTGAGGGAGGAAGAAGGGGATTCGAATCAGGGACAGGCGACGTTGAGAAGGTTTGGCAGGCTTCGAACGGCGCGGAGGAGGCGGATGAAGGTGGAGAAAACAATCAGGGGCGGGACCAAGAAAGGGGAAAGGAGAACCTTGGGAGCGTCTACGCGAATGGGGAAAAGGAACGTGGCACCAAGGTGACGTCCTCGACAGAGAAAGCATCACCTCTGCGTGGCCACGCAGAGAGCGGCGTGCGGCGCGCGCAAGAGCACTACGTGGCGACGCGCACCAGCAACAGCCCTCTCACTCCCGCGGGGGCGCAAACGCCGCACACGTCTGAAGTCAAATCCGTGCAGACGCCCGCCACGCAGCCGCCGCAGCAGACGCAGTCCGGGCTGACGACCGTTCCTGGAGTGCCGATTCAGCCCCCCCTTCAGTTACATGGTAAACCTGCAAACCCAACTTGGCGGTTTTCCGCAAACCATCCTAGTGGGCCTCCCCGTTGTTAGCTACTCTAATCAAAGCACCTGTATCCTTACCTTGTGCGTGCTTCCCCCTTGCCAGCTCCGGACGGCGCGCTGCTGTCGCTCGTCCCCGCCGCTTCCGAGGACGGCCAGCTCCAATGGATCCAGCCGCCGCAATTCTTGGCGGCGCCGCAATTTATGGGCGGAGCGCAATTTGTGGGCGGAGCCCAACTTATGGGCGGGGCGCAACTTGTCGGCGGGGCGCAAATTGTGGGCGCGCCTGGACACGGCGGAGGTCTGATGCCTGCGGGACCTGTTTCGTTCTTCCGCGCATCGTCCCTCGCCGCGCCTGTATCCGCGGCGACGGGTATTGAGGGAAGCTTCATGGGGACCGATGGAGTCAACGGAGTCAACGCCACCGCGCGCGGCGTTTCCGGGGATCTGTTCGGCGGGAACGCGGGCGACGAGATGATAGAAGGCTCGTGGGACGACTTAATAATCTGCACTCCCACCGGCGGGTTTCCCGGCGGGTTTCACGGGCAGATGGGTTGGGGAGGAGGCGAGCGAACGAGCAGAGCCGGTCGCCGCACGCAGCTATGGGAGGGCGACCCGCAGCTGGTGTACCGACTGCAACAGAGTTACCACACAGACGACTCCGCCGCAGCCGACACGAAACCCGACCCTACAACCATTGCCATCACCGGCGCCGAAAACGCTTCGATTAGAAACGATTCGATAAGAGACGACGGGGAAGAGGAGGAGGCTTTGCCCGCAGAAGCTCGGGGCGATCCGGAGACCGCCACGCACCCAGGGATGATCGGACCAGAGTCTAGGGATGTGGCACAGTCGACCGCAACAATGGAGAGTTATCGAGAAGCTATCGCGAGCGGTCAGTTGCCGCTGCATGTGAAAGTGGAATTCCCAACGCCGTCGCCTAGAGGCGGGCTACAATCCTCGTCGCCCAGCAATCGCGGTGGGCTGGGGTTCTCGTACCACTCGCCGATCCCTCTGTGCTCGCCGTCGCCGCTGCGACTGTGTGCGATGGATTTGGGCGACATGGCGGAGCCGAATCTGTGGCTGTCGCCGCCAGCCAGCACCAAGTACACGCTCGACAAGCTCGGCGACTTCCCGCCCTTCTCGCCGCGGCTTCCGGCGATCGTGCGCGGCTACAGCGGTGAGTGATTTGTCGTGTCAGCATTTGAGCTGTTTTTCTTTTGGTTTTTTCTCGTCTTTTCCTTCCGTTAGCTGTGTGCGACAGCAGCAAGCAACTCACTCGACTCATGCGTCGTTTCGTGTCTCTGTTGGTTGGGTCATGTGTGGCCGCAGCAGCTCTGCCATACCTGGATGGCAGCGCGCACCAGCAGCCTTCCAGGATGTCGCCTTCCAAGGGAGAACCCCCCGGAACCGTCCACCCAGGATCCGCCCCGCCGGGATCCGCCCCACCCCAAGAGCCTGGCGGACCAACCACCGACAGCCCAGAAAACCCGCCAGTTTCCGCTTCCGCCATGGGTTCCGCCGCTCTCCAGTCCGGTTCTCCGCGGGCAGCCAGGCGGGGAACGGCGGAGGATGAGGGAGACGCCGCGCGGGAAGATGGTCAGGCTGCGCGGAGGGAGGACGAGGCGGGAGATTCAGCGGGCGCGAGGCGGGAGAGTGGGGCGGCGGGATCGGCGCGATTGGTTAGTAGCGGTTCGCCGGGGAGCGGAGTGAGATACGGCGGGATGCGCGGGCGGTCGTTGCTGCAGCAGTGCCTCATTATGGGCGCGGAGCAGCGCGCCACTCGCGCCGTCACGGCCGCTGGTGCTGGCGCTGCTGCTGGTGCGGGTGCCGGTGGAAGCGCTGGTGGTGGTGCGGGAGGCAGCGCTGCTGCTGGTGCTGGTGGTGGCAACGCTTCTGGGCTCGACCGCGATGTTGAAAGGAACGAAACGGAAGAGCAGGTCGAAAAGACCGACAAGATTGACAGGAGCGAGAAGAACGAGAAGTCTGGAGGTGATGCGGATGACCGTGCGGCGGAATGGAGTCCGTCGGTGTTGAAATGGAGAGCAGTGGGGTGCGATGGCCGTCTGCTTGGCGTACAGCGTGACGTGCGAGCACAGCAGGAGAGGACGGCTCTTGGTGCTGCTGACTCGAATGCCCCGCACGCCTCTACTCCACCGCTTTCACCTCCGCAGGGACCGCCTGGAGAATTTGTCAGTGCTGCTGGTGCTGCTGGGGTTCGTGCTAGCAGCGAGGGAGAGACGAATGTTGGTGGTACAGATTTTCCCAGCACGGAAATGCGTGGACAGGGGTCTCGGCGGCACGTTGCGGGAGCCTCAGGCGAGCTGTTTCGTCGCGAAAACGATTTTGCGAATCGTGGCGAGAGTTTGTCGCGGCCGGATGTTACCACGGGAGGGAGATCTTTCGTGGTTGGCTCGTTAGGCTCCACACTTACGGAACGCGTGAGTGTACTGGAACTCGAGAACAAACAAACAACGCGTGCGGGCAATAGCGCGGATGGTGCGACCGACCCTGCAAATTCTGACACACCCAACTCCAGCGGTAACAGCCGCTCGTCGTCAAATATCGACAGCCGAGGCGCAGAGTCGAACGACGAAGATGACGGTGAGAATAGGTCGGGAGTGGTGGAGAAGGAGGAGGGCGCGCGAGAGGAGGACGGGGGGGAGAGCACCTTATTGCGAAGAGCTGCGACAGCGAACAGTGCTAAAGGCGGCGAGGTTCGGCACGATGCGAACCTGGATGATGGGGGTGACAAGGGTAATGAGGATGATGGGGGAGATGGTGACAATAGACGAGCTTCGCAGACTGCACGAGCGGGACTGACGGCGGAAGAAGGTGAGGCGTTGAAATCGCCGGCGCACGAGCAGCAGCCGTCATTTTTACCGGCGGGCGCGGAACGTAGGCGCGCGGAGCGTACGTGCGCGGAAAGGGAGGGCGCGGAAGGTAGATGCGCGGAAAGCAGCCCCGAAAAGGGTTTCGCGGGTTTGGTGAGGCCGCAGCCGCGCAGAGCGCGGAGCGGTGATCATGCAGTCTCCCCGTCCTTCTCGATTCCCGCTTCCCCGCTTTTCGATTCACCCCGCTCGGCGGCGCCGGAGCGGAATGCGCCCCAGTCCGTTGGCACGGAGCGCGCGTCGGCGCAGGCGCCGCTGCTGCAGCCTGCTGCGAATGTGCGTCAAGTGCAGACTGCGTCTCAGTCACATTCGGGGAAGCACCAGGAGCATGGTGAAGCAGGGAGGGCGACTTTCGAGTCGACTTCACAATTGAGCGGCGGGAGTGAGGCGGATGGGAGAGGCTCGCGTGACGAGGACGTGGCGTCAGAGGAAGCACGGGCGAAGCTTCCCAGGGCAGGTGAAGGCTTAAAGCCCGCCAAGACTCAGCAGTCGGGGGGACTTGGAGGGGATGGTGGAGGCGGAGGAGGAAGAAGAGGTGGGGATGATGTGGGGAACGGACATGGTATGGCTGGGACTGCAGCAGCGGTCGGGAGCGGTTCTATTGTTCCTTGGCATCCCGGCAGCTCACCTGCAGCTGCTAACGGACCTGCTTGTATGGGGTTTCCAGTGTACTCGCCCCAACTGCCCCCTATCGGCAGCTTTTTTGTTATGAGCCCTCTCCCACAGCAGCATATGAGCCCCATGCAGCAGAGCTATCAGCTGCTGCAGCAGCAGCAGCATGTGAGTCCCATGCATCAGCATCAGCATCAACAGCAGCAGCAGCAGATTCGTCTCTGTTCCCTGCCGCCCCAGCATCAAATCTACCCCATGGCCGCTCAGCAGTACTACCCGCTCCCGCCCCAGCAGCAGCAGTACATGCAACCCCAGCAGCTTGCCCAGTCCCCGCCAACGCCCCTGGCCCCGCCAAGGCCCCTTCCCATGGTCGTGGCTTCTCCCCTTGGCCACACCTCCCAGCGCCTCCCAGCCTCTCATGGGGCGCAGCGGCAGCAGGGGCAACAGGGCATGCGACCAGGAGCGCATTCCCAGGAGCGTGTGGGTTTAGGGAGTACAGGGGGTCCTGTTGTTGCCCTGGCGCCAGGGGCGTATTCGCAGCCTGCTGGTGCTGCTGCGGTTGCCAGTGGTAGTGCTGGTGGTGTTGCTGCTCGTGATGCTGGTGCTGGTGTGAGTGGTGCTTCCTCAGGTGGTGTCTCTGGAGGGGGCGAACGGGGAGGAGAAAGGGGAGGGCGAGAAGCAAGAGGGGAGGAAGGGCGAGGGGGGAGGGTGTCACGAGGAGCACGAACCCCGTCCCCTCAAACCTCTGCAAGCGCATCTCTGCGCCCTTCCCCCGTGCAACCTCCCCCTCCGCCTGTCTACTCCCCGGCTGTCGCCTCCTGGGTGCCCTTCGCCCTGCCCCCCGCTGCCGCTGCCGCTGCCGCCCCAGAAATGGGTAAACTTACAATTTACCCTGTAAAACCTGGAGTACACAAGGCGCATGTTGGGACGAGGAATGTTTCACCGGATGGGCATTCCTTGCGTGAGCAGCAGCGAGCAGAGGGACAGCAATGGCAGCAGCAACAGCAGCAGCACCGTCACCAGCAGCAGCAGCAGCAGCAGCAGCAGCAGCAGCACCAGCAGCAGCAGCACCAGCAGCCACAGCCGCGGGTATCTCAGCAGCAGGAGGTGCTGGTGCCAAGGCCTATGGCAGTGATGGGTAATCAGCCACAGTCAGTGCGAGGGGCACCGATGATCGCACCGGCACCAGCAGCAGCAGCAGCGCCAGCAGCAGCAACAGCAGCAGCAGCTGCAGCGGGAGCAGCAGCAGCGTCACGCCCGGTGTCTCTGGCCCTGCGTCTGCAAAGCAGCAGCAGCAGCAGTGGCGGCGGTGGTATGCCACGGCAGACCCCTGGGCCTCAACCAGTACCCAGGCTTGGCACTGCTGGGGGCCAATGGGCCCCCAGATACTCCCAGCCGACCGTTGCTACTGTAGCCATTGCCCCCACTGGATCCATTTCGGGCATGCAAGGAACTCCCCCTGGTGCGGTGCAGAGTGGTGCAGGAGGTGTGGTGCAGGGTGCTGGTATGGTGCAGAGTGGTGCGGCAGGTTTGCAGAGTGGTGCAGCAGTTGCGGTGCAGGGTGGTGCGGTAGGGGAGGCGTGGAAGCAGAAGCAGGTGCAGGCGCATGAGCTGAGGCGACAGAGGGTGCTGAAGATGCATCAGCATCAGCAGCAGCTGCAGCAGCAGCAGTATGTGCAGTCGCCCACGCATTTCCCACAGTTGGCTGATTTGCAACAGCGGATTCAGAAGCAGCAGCAGCAGCACGTGCAGAGCCAGAGGTTGCAGCTGCCATTTGAGCAGCAGCACCGCCGGCTGTCACAGCAGCAGCCGGGGCAGGTGCAGGTGCAGCAGCAGCACACGCAGCAGCAGCAGCAGCAGCAGCAGCAGCAGCAGCAGCAGCAGCAGCAGCAGCAGCAGCAGCAGCAGCAGCAGCAGCAGCAGCAGCAGCAGCAGCAGCAGCAGCAGCAGCAGCAGCAGCACCAGCAGCAGCACCAGCAGCACCAGCAGCAGCAGCAGCAGCAGCAGCAGCACATGCAGCTGCAGCAGCAGCAGCAGCAGCACATGCAGCTGCAGATTCCAAGGCTTGTGGTGGGTGTGAAACAAGAGATGGTTGAACAAGGTGGGGGTGCAGACTGGCGCTGTCACCCTCACTCACAGACAGCTAGACAGGGCGATAACCAGGGGCTAGCTGGCAGGCAGGGGGGAGTGGAGGGAGGGGGAGGGCAGCAGGCGGGCAGGAAGGAGGGCAGTCTGAGGCACCTCAAGAGGAAGAGGGCGTTGAAGGAGGTGGAGGTGGAAAGCAGGAGAGGTTCGGCTTTAAGGGCCTGTAGCAGCGAGGGGGAATCGGGCGGCGGGGATCCGGCTGCTTATCAGCAAAATCAGGGTGCTTTTCAGCAGCAAGTTCTTCCTGCTTATCAGCCTATCCCGCTTGCTTATCAAAACCAGCTGCCAGCTTATCAGCAGCAGGCTGCTTATCAGCAGAATCCGGCTGCTTATCAGCAGAATCCGGCTGCTTATCAGCAAAATCCGGCTGCTTATCAGCAGCATCAGGCGGTCACAGGGTTGGGAACAGGGATTCACGCGGGCAGCCGTCCCGCTGACGTCATGGAGGGAAGGGATCAAGAAGATGACGTCATGGATATGCAAATTGAGTTGGATGGATTGGGTGATGAGGGCATGTGCGCCATGGGTGAAGGGGGAATATGTGGCATGGGGGATATGGGAGGAGAGGGAGGAGAGGCAGCGGTGGGGGGAGGGGAGGAGGTGAAAGAAGCAGTGAGCGTGGCAGCAGCAGCAGGAGTGGGGGGTAGAGCGGAGGGGGAGAGGGATCCGCCTGTGAAGTCGAGGTTCAGGGGCGTCAGTCATCACAGGTCCGTGCTGAGTCATCACATGTCAATGCTGAGTCATCACAGGTCAATGCTGCGTCATCACAGGTCACTGCTGAGTCAACACGAGGCTGTTGAGACACTATCCTCTGTTGCACTCGTTCTCATCATTCGCAAGGCATTGCGGAGCAACACACTGGGCTATTTCCTTTGGTGGTAGCCATACTCCCTTCTTTCCCCTGACTCTTTTCCCCTGGTCTCTCTGTGCTGTCTGCTCACTCCTTCCCATTCCTTCTGCCTGCTTGCCTCGCTTTGCACTGCAGGCTGACCAAGCGGTGGGAGGCGTCGCTGTGGACCAACAAGAAGCAGCTCTACTTGGGTGAGTGGGAGAGGATGAGTTGAGTTAGTGGGAGAGGGTGAGTGGGTGAGGGTGAGTGGGTCAGGCAGCCTTTTTTCTCATGCATTTATGTGCGCACATACCATTCCGACTCATTAATACCTCACACGTATCAATGCCCGCACACATCAATCCCTCCTCTCATTCCATGCAGGTGGGTACGACGCGGAGGAGAAGGCAGCGAGGGCGTATGACATAGCAGCATTGGCGTGCAAGGGAGCAGAGGCAGTTACGAACTTCCCAAGGGAGAGTTACGCGGACAGCATTGGGGAGTACCTTGGGATCTCCTGCGAGGCGCTCATTGCGAAACTGAGAAGGGAAAGCTCGTGAGTTGCACTTGATGCTTTCACGTTTCTTGCTTATACGTTGTGCAAGCTTGCAGAAGAATATGCAAATGCCTTTGCGATATGCGATAACGTTCTCAAGCTATGTGGCAGGACAGTCTAGCTTCAGGTATTATGCCTCTTCACCATTTTCCATCTCGTTGCCTCTCTCATTCACCCCTCGCCTGTTCCTTCAGGGCTTTCTCCGGGGGTCGATCCAAGTACCGCGGTGTGTCAGGGCAAGAGGGGCGGTGGGAGGCACGCATTGAATCATGCGGTCTTGACGGTCTTAAATTCCCGTCGGTCTGCCTCCTCTTCCGTTCCCATTCATGTCCTTCTCTCCCTTGTCACCCATACACGTCCTTCTCTCGATGTCGCTCCAAGTACCGCGGGGTGTCAGGGCGGGAGGGGCGGTGGGAGGCGTGCATCGGGTCGTGTGATGGTGATATCATAACTCTTTACCCATCTCCTTCTCCTGTCCTTTCCCCCTCCTCGCTCCCTCACAGGGCGTTTTCTCGAGGCCGGTCCAAATTCCGCGGGGTGTCGGGGCAGGAGGGGCGGTGGGAGGCGCGCATTGGGTCGTATTTCGGGCGGCGGAACGTGTCTTTAGGCGTGTATGAGACGGAGGAGGCGGCAGCAGAGCAGTACGACCGCGCGCTCATCATTCAGAAGGGCACGCGGGCTAAGACCAATTTCTGCATCTCCAAATACATTGCAGAGCACCTGCAGCACGTGAGTGTGAGTGTGAGTACGAGTAGGTAAGTGTACGAGTAGGTAAGTGTACGAGTAGGTAAGTGTACGAGTAGGTAAGTGTACGAGTAGGTAAGTGTACGAGTAGGTAAGTGTATGAGTAGGTAAGTGTACGAGTAGGTAAGTGTACGAGTAGGTAAGTGTACGAGTAGGTAAGTGTACGAGTAGGTAAGTGTACGAGTAGGTAAGTGTACGAGTAGGTAAGTGTACGAGTAGGTAAGTTAGAGTAGGTAAGTGTACGAGTAGGTAAGTGTACGAGTAGGTAAGTGTACGAGTAGGTAAGTGTACGAGTAGGTAAGTGTGCGAGTAGGTAAGTGTACGAGTAGGTAAGTGTACGAGTAGGTAAGTGTACGAGTAGGTAAGTGTACGAGTAGGTAAGTGTACGAGTAGGTAAGTGTACGAGTAGGTAAGTGTACGAGTAGGTAAGTGTACGAGTAGGTAAGTGTACGAGTAGGTAAGTGTACGAGTAGGTGGTAAGTGTACGAGTAGTTAAGTGTACGAATAGTTAAGTGTACGAGTATGACTGACTATTATTGTGGACAGCATGTATCAGAGCAGGTACGCTCGATGCCTTCGCCGTCTTTACTATTATATGCACATGTATCCACATGTATATTCATATGTGTACATCCACATTTATGCACATGCTTATACACATACCTGCTCGGGTACATGACTTGTATGCACATGTTTACACACACTTGTGGTGTTGTTTCAGGAGCGAGGGCAGGAGGGAGCGGTGTTTCCCAGCCAGCAGCAGTCGACGGGCAGCAGAGCGTGCCTTTCCACCACCACAGGAGCTGATATCATCCCTTCACTAGCAGCAGCCGCATCACCACCATCCTCTGCTTACCCACTGTCAGCCGCAGTGGCAGCAGCAGCTGCTGCCGCAACAGCAGCAGGAGGATCAGCGGCTGCGGATGGGCATGGTGGGGTGCGGTTCGGAGGGGTGAAGAAGGGACGAATCACTCCGGGATTTGATGCGCTGTACCGCCGAGCAATGGCAGAGATAGTGGCTGGCTCAGCTCTGCCTTTCCCTGTGGACGACCCAGAGGGTAGACCTGCTGTGGAAGAGTGACTTGAGTTGAATCGAATCACTCCTGGCTTTGATGCGATGGCAGAGATAGTGGCTGGCTCAGCTCTGCCTTTCCCTGTGGACGACCCAGAGGGTAGACGGGTTGTTGAAGAGTGACTTGCCTGCTGGGGTCGGGTTCGGTTGGGTTGAGCTGGGTTGAGTTGAGTGGCTTCAGCGAGAGTGGCTAGTGAGGAGTTGCTTAGTGCTCCTCTGCTCCCTCTCGTCCTGCTGAAGATCGCGGCATTACAGTGGAGGAATGATTACCGCATCTTGGCATGGAAACCAAGGTGGTTTGTTGCACGGGGCTGAGATATGGCTGGCTGGCATTCATTGACACAGTAACGCGTTGTGCCCAGCTCCTGCCCTGTTTTTGTTGCTGAGGGGATGGCAGGCCTGCTGTGGAATGGTGACTTCTCCGCAGATGCTGGTGGCAACATAAAGACTGGTGAAGTCTTCATCCAGGACAGTTTCACTCACACCGTCATGATACTTCCAAGACACCCATATTCAAGGCATTGGAGAAGGCATTGTGTAATTCTTTTGTTGCTTTGTTAGATCTGCAAAATAACCGTTTCCGTTGGTTACCTAATGTACATATCGTTATCAACTCCGTGGGATAAACACTGCTTTCTGTGCACAATACACTGCTGCACAATGGTGAACTTTGAGCCTTTCTCCTGTAACAAAGTGGTACATCCACCTACGGTATGTTGGTAATCTTGAGTCATCCATATAGTGAGAAGGGATGATGAGATTGATGCTTGGTAGTTCCAACTCTGCTGCTTCTACTTCCTGCTTGTGTATCCCAGTGCTACTAAACCATGAAAAAGTTCCACGTTGCCAATGCGATAATCCCCAAATGCTTATTCTCCTTCCGCCTTGAGTATAGGCACCACAAGGGGATGCATCTGTGCCATGTACACAATTGCCCACCTGTCACATTCAGGTTCACGCACAAAAAATAAGGAAAAAATGCACAATTAGATAGAGATACATGAGATGCAGGATTATGCAAATATGACGCATGAATACAGACGACAAAGGGAATTTCCTGATGAAAGGACTACAATACGTTATCCAGGCGCATGACACACACTCAAACATGCAACCTGGCCGCTTGGCACACACATGATTCAGGCATGAGACACACAATTTAGGCATGAAACACATAATTCAGGCATGAGACACATGATTCAGGCATGCTGAGAGACATGGAGGGAGGGCGGGAATGGTGTGGGGAGCATAAGCAGGCTGGGACGTTGTTAAGAACACGACTAAAGGAGGGACGATGTGAGCTGCGTGAAACTAGCAATGTGAGAATCGTCAAGCAGCAGAAAGGGAGAGCTCAGTGAGCCGAGAGCGAACACGTTGATACTATTGGCTTGAGAGCACTCACGAGAGCCAGCAGCAAATGAAATTTGAGCGGAATCAAATGCCATCTCGCTACACTACTGGTTTGAGAGCACTCACGAGAGCCAGCAGCAGATGGTTGCGGTGATGACCAGCGTGACATGCAGCCTGGCTCGCGAGCAGACGAGGTCAAGGGCAGGAGAATGAAAGAACGAGGGGGGAAGGGATGAGAGCAGGAATGGTGAGACGAAATGCTAGCGTGTCAAGAAGCTGATAGAGATCATAGGAGAGCAGAAACGCCTGTGAAGGGAATGAAACATGTGACAATAACGGGAGCGAAAGTGGACGGGGTTGGGTGAACGCACAGGTTCGTTGACGGGCCTTTATCGTAGAGAACCCTAACGAGCACGCAGCCTAGGAAGCCGAGCGCGAAGAAGATGAGCGTGATGACGAGGAACGCTGCCATGCTGGTAACCGCGTAACTCTCGCTAGGCCGACTGAGGAAACTTAGATCAGGCTCGCACGGTCAGGAAAGAATCAGCCTGTGATCAATGAGCACGGGGGACCAAAGAAACGCGACATTGCGTGTGACTGTCCGCTAGATCCGAGTACGATGCGGTAAAATGACAGCACGAACCCGTGACTTAAAAAAAAAAAACACAAACGATGCTTTGAACTTATCAGTAAGAAGGAAACCGCTAGTCCTTAAAAGACGAACCTGTGAGGAGCTTGCCACGTCCTTTGTAGACTACACTTTCCAACGTCAGAAATAACGGGGAAAAAAGGAATCTACGGCTTTTGAAGCTCGATTCGGTTTGAAAGGCAGTCGAGAGTCCACCGACAAATGAGGTCGCAGTAATACAGGGAGAAACGGGAGGTGGCGAACTTCGGTGCTTTGCTTGAATCGTAGGTATCTGAGGAGGGTGATAGAAACAGCGCGTGCCTGATCGTGAAATGCGGCAATACCTATGTCAGCTGACAAGGCAGTGGAGCACAAAGCAGCGTAAGGCGGGTATTGTACGCGGTAAAAAACGCGAGAAGGCGTTCGGCAGTATTTGTGAACGTCGGAGTAATGAAATTGTTTTGAAAGAGTCTGGGCAATTAGACTACCCTAGGATATCATTGATAAAGGTTTGTGTGATAAAACCAGCACTTCTTTGATGTGGGTAATGAGACAATATCTCACATGACAAGCTGGGACGGATTTTAGGGCGAAGCGAATTCTATACACGCCAGTAGAATCCTTGCCATGACATCAAGCCAGCAACAAGTGACCAAAAGAGTGCTTTGGAACCAGCAGTCACGATTGCTGCTGTTTTGGAGTCGTGGCCCATCCATAGCAGCAGATTATGTAGAAGCGACACCTGGAACAATAAACACATCGACAGGGGGGGGGACCACAAACAGGGATGAAACATATAAGGGGTGGGGAACCAGACGTGTGTGGGGTGGGGAAGCGAATGTCGAGAGAGCCATGGAAATCATGCACGGTTTTTAGTGTGTGCAGGAGGGAGGGTGAAAAGAGGTACAAACTCACAAGGTTTTCATGTGGGTCCTCCCAGTAGAAGCCAGCAGCGATGGAGGAGAGGAGGGGAGTGGCACAGGCGAGGAAGAGGAAGAGGGAGTTGCGGCCCATCCACTCAAAGAGCAGCGTGTAGAAGCACACTCCTGCCGCATCCACCTGGGAGAGATGCGTGCAGGGAACAGGAGAAGCAGCAGAAAAAAATGTGTGACTGTGCTTTGGGAACGAAAAATGTGAACATAATGTTTGCCAGACGGAGCTACTACATCATATCACAGATGTTTGAGCTCGTTGGTGATGGGAGGGTGCTTACAAAAAGGTAGATGAGGGCGAAAAGGAGTGCGGCAGCTCCTGCTGTTATGAGGACATAGCTTAGCGAGTACAGCTGAGCATTGAAAGGCAGACCTGAGGAACGGGGGGACAAGAACACAGCAGGAGAGAACAAATTAAGGTGTAAATTGTTGTAGTTGGGGTGATAGGATGCTGCAAAGGAAGCACTGTGCGGAGAAACATGAAATAGATGAAATGCATCTGTACCAGGGTAGGATATGTCCAGCCACTCGGGGATGTTTGCATGGGGCATGGCGTGGTGGAGGGAGAAGGAGAAGGGGAACTGGAGGAGGAAACCAGCCGCCATGAGTAGAGCAGAGAAGAGGAGGCAGTTGATGATGCGCGCTGCATGGCTCTGTGGTGGACCGTGGAACGGAGGAGAGGAGATGAAAGGGAGAGAAAGGAAGAGGAGAAAGGAAGAGAATGGAGATGAGATATGGTAGAAGGCGAGATTGAAAGAATGACAGGTAGTGAACCAAGAAGGCCAGTTAAAAAGTGAAAGCATTGGGTGAGAAGGAGAGACCAGAAAGAGCAAGGGGGTTAGGTATTGAAGCGTGGTTCACCTGGGAGCTGGGGTCACCTGAAAGCTAGTGATGATGTGGCCGAGGTGCAAGCCCATGAAGGCTGTGAGTGTGGCGCCCAGTGTGCTGGTGAGAATAGGGGCGATGAAAGGCGGAGAGAGAGGTCAGTGGGTACGATAATTGTTCAGAGGCACGTGGTGAACTGAGAGCAGGG